TAGAATATATGACAATATTTAAATATAATATATCCTAGACTGACAAATCATCTTCGTTTAGAATCGTTTTTCGTATACAATGATACTTATCATTGCATTTAAATTTAATCCCATCCATTACAGTAACCTACTGTACAGCAGAGCGACATCCGCGACTTACCCGCTTTTTTTATTTGCGGATACTCATAAATCATAATATATACATTTTGGTTACCAGTATAAATTATGTAATAGTAAAATACTTATAAACTTGAAAATAGGATTCTGGTATTATAATGTACACCCTCCAAGCTTCCAAAACAGTATATAATATACTACTGTATATATCTACAAAAATACAAAGTTAGTACCTTTGTTAACCCTTTATAAATAAGTATAGGTAATCTATACTTTTTTTCTTTTTTTCTTTTTAAAAAGCTATATTTACAGTCTCTACATAAAGCAAAATTAGTAAATTGGATAATAATAATAATAATAAAAAGATGAATTGATTGGCTTAAGGGAGGAAACCGTCCGTCAACAGTAGGTACCTCTATTTAATTTGGTGGGTTCATATGGAGAGACCGTTTATTTATTTTATTTTTTGTATTAAGCAATTGTGTCTCTTGGCCATTTTCATTTTAATCTCCTTGGAAGGTTGCTGGGAATGGTTAAAGAGAACATACGAGATATTTTGGTTTTGGTTTGAATGGAGTTTTAAGTGGAATTTTTTGTAGTGTCAAGTTGCTATTTCATTGACTATTGATATGATCTATACTTTAAATTAATTAGATTTTATACATTGATGACCATTAAATTATTTTAAAAACTGGAAATTTTATTGGTTAAGTTGAAATATTATAGATATTTTTATTAAAACACAATATTGATAGAATTAACCATAAATCTATAAATACTCGCAAATAATCCAATTAGGATATTCAAATTACTGAATACCTACAAGAAAATTTAAAAACAAATTGTATTACACATTTTTTTTAATTACTTGCAATCAAATTTCCCATGAGTCCACTTGGTAAAAATATGGCCGCTTCCTTCTCAAATAGTTTTGATGTTTTTTCTTCCAAAACTATAATAATTTCAAAAAATCAAACAAACAAAGAGTTAAAACAATAAARAGCATAACAGTAGTGTAGTAATTGAAATTTATGATATAAGGGTCCCTATTTTTTTGTAATAATTTACATATTTCAATATTTGTATTTTAACTTGGAATTTGTTAAAGCCATCAACTTATTCATTAAGCATATCGCGTGATTTATGATTCTTCACCCTAAATTATGTCAATATATCAGCCTAAAGGTATTAGATAATGATCTAAACCACAAACATCAGAGAGCCACAATAAAATTACAGTATCTACTTAAACTGATTCTATTAATATTTATTACATAGTATATATTTATAATAACAATCAAACCTTAGACGTTTTGTGTATATTTGAAATTAAGGCTATTTATTTTGAAAATATTTTTAATGTTTAAAGAGTTTCTATATTTAATCAATATAAAAATATTATTTTAAACGTTATTTTATCAAGAAGTTTTGAAAATTAATAGTTTGTGATATATAATTCAAACTGATATACCTATAGATATAGGCTATAGTTGATTATATATATTTCTACAACTAAAACTTAACCTTTAAATAGTTACGTAATTTATAAAAAAAATTTAAAAATTTCCCATAGTACTTTTACTTACTATTCCTTAGTATCTAATCTTGGAACTCGATGCTGCACCCATCTGGGTCAACTGTATCAAAACCCACATAAATAAAATTCTAGTTTTCCAGTCCAAAATATTACGAGCAATATCGAATTCGTCTTTGTTTGTCAGAAATTAAGTCCTTCACACAGACTTCGAATATCCCAAAGTTAAAACTTACAGAATAATCTCTTGATCAACTTTTTTTGACAAATTAAATAAAAAACATGGATTTCTCCATGATATTCTCTCTTAAGACTTAACTCTGACTGCTATATTAGACGATATAGAATAGAAATGATTCATTTAAAGTTAATATTTTTTTTAAAATATATTTTATGAAAATTTATATATAGTAAATGATACATATATAATAGGATACAACATGAATATCGATATAGGTATGGTAACATTTTAAATTTTTTTTTAAATTATTGTTGTTAAGCTTAAAAATGGATATTCAAACTTACGATTTATGGTGGGATCCTCGCCGTAACCATCGTCACCGACTTCGGCATCGAACATTGCTTGGCGCATACGAACATCCGGTTTCGTTACTGTATCGCTTCTCAAGTCGATCACTTCACTCTGTTGCAAATCATTGTCAGATGGCACCAACTTTAAAGTTTTGAACGTATACATTATTATTTTTATTATTACAACTGTTTTAATCTCGTGGTACAGAATGTTCTATTTTCAGTAAAAAACACGAACTGTGTGCCAGTTATTGTGTTAACTGAGATATTTATAAAAAAAATACAACGAAAAAGTGTTCGTTATCGTTCCAAAGCATTTATAAATAAGCGTGTCTAGAGTTCTAGACCTTTTTCGCAGATCGTATATATGTTTAATATATGAATGTAAAACCAGGTGGGGATAAGGAGTTTGATCCCAAAATGTTGAGAAAAAATTATGATTAGGAACATTATTGTGAGTACTGAGTATAATTAATAATAAAAGTGATAAAATGAAAAAAACCTTTTAAGTACTTAAAAGTAACCGCAATAGTATTGGTATCACATTTACACATGTTTCGTAAAATTTCTCAGGTCATGCAAGCATGATAGTCATGAACTGTAGACACACCTATATAATATATATATATATATATATACTAACATAATACTGAAAACACTTTCATTTACGGATTCACGTGTACGTTTCATTGTTGTGCATAATTTAGCCATACATATAGCTATAACAACGACCCAGGTACATTTATATTAAACAAATTAATTATAATGTTTTTAGTATTATTTTTATCTTAATCGTGATTAAAAGATGATGCAATTGTTATATTATGATTTATGAGGAGGCTAATAATTTTTTATAATCTTAATACACATATAATTACAATTAGTTTCTATATTTTAAACTATATATTATTGACAATATCAATAGTACCTACCTAATATCAGAATATCTTTATAGTTTATACTAATATCAGTATTATAGTATGTGACCTATACTTTTTCTAAACTTATAACAATTTTTTCATATTATGTTATTTACAATAGACCTGGATTAATATGACCAACCAGGCAAGATTTAAATTCTGAGAGAAGTGCTACAGCGCTGAATGTATTGTTTTACAATGATGTTTTTTTTTTAATAATGCTACAATTTTTGACTTAATTTTTATTTAAAAGTATCTTTTACGGTGGGTAAGTAACTCTAGCTGTAAATCCATAATATTTTTTACGAGCATCTGATTTTCGAATTTTGATTAAAGATTTAAATTTTAAAATCCTGAAAATTTGTAAATTATTTTGAGTTAAAATTAATAATTAAATATAAATATAAGATTTGAAAATTAAATACAAGATTCC